GGACAATACTTTATGTCAACCACAAATTGTTGTTCTGAGTCTGGGTGTTTCCGTCTTCATGTCCGTTTCATGAATGTTTATAAAGTCGGTAATTCTCTTTAAGTAAGTATTAAGTAAACTAACAGTAAACTATTATAGTAGTATATTTCTTTGTTTGTTACGTATCCACGCTTTAACCACTTAACCGGTGATAATGTAATTTTGCATACACGTTGTCAAGGGTACGAAAAGGGACAAAGGGTACCTTTCATCCAGATGAAAAGTACTGTTCCGGAGGGATATAAAAATAACTTTTACGCGAGGCACGCCGCGGGTAAAAGTTAGTAAGTATCACATAAAATGAGACATTGTTTTTATTCTTTGTTTTTATTTTTATTTAAAAATTCCAATACGTATATGTTGTATGTTCCAATGCTAAAAAAAATTACATTACTTTAGGCGTAAAATGGCGTACCTACATGCTTTGTAAGATAGCTTTCATTTATTTTCTTTGTTTAATTCATTTATTTAATTTTTAGATTTGTGTCTTCATTTAAAATTGCAATTTAGCTTGGGTTAGGACATGAGTATAAGAAAATAGTCTTGTTTCACTTTATTGTGCCTCCTGCCACTCCTCCAAACACCTTCACTGTATGATGTCAATGATTGTTTTATTTGCATAACAATAAACGAATGGAGCCTTAAAACTGTGCTAGTGAGCAACTGGGTCTAGTGATTTAATGCCTCTGGAAAAGTGCCAAATGCATCTTATGATATATCAAGACGAAGACTGATTGTATACAAAGTGATAAAGCATCAGCAGCCTTTAATAGTCTACAGCTATACATAGGCCTCTCCTTGGAAAGGAGGTTTTGGCCTACTATACCACGCTGCTCAGACGGTTATTTTCTTCAACTTTCCTTCTTTTTGCAGTGCTATTGTCATGCTTAATTTGCTCTTACGATACCCATGGGATGAATAGGGGGGTGACACTCCGTATTCTTAATTTGTCACCACACGGAAAGGCTAGAGCGATTTGTTATATGTATTGACAGCGTGTATTAGTTCTGAGCCGTAGCTAAGCTGCGATTTAACAGCGGGGTTACTGGTGGTGGATAGTGAGCGGCCATTAGATATAGCGGTCAGCTGCGAATTAAATAAGCAGTCTCAAACCTAGCAGTGTCAGAAACGGCCACTCAGCATTGGTTCGCAACCATCTAGAAGAAGGAAAACTTTAAAATCAAGTTTGGAAATCGGTGACTCCGTCAGCACGAGTAAGGTCTAATCCGAAATATGCGACAGTTACCTGCAACCGACCTGGCTCCGCACGAGTTGGCTTGCCTCACAAACTGCGATGCAGCGTCTGTGGAGTGGGCACTTCACCCACGTTAGCTTAGCTGCTTGGAAAACAACCCGAGGAATGGCAGCTACCGGTTATAAGCTCGTACGTAGGCGTAAGTACGAGCGCTAGTAGCGCTGTTACACCTGACGCTACCAAAGAGAAAAATGGAAGCAACGTTCATACTGAACTGCGTTTTGGGACGTGGAATGTTCGAACAATGCGGACAGGTTTTCCGGACACTAGTGTAAGCTCTCAAAACGCATAAGACCTGCTCAAAACGTCGCTAATAGACCTTGAATTGTCAAGATTAAATTATACCACTTGGCCTGACTGCCTCGGTAACCACGGTAAGCTAAATGAGAACTGCCAACGCTTAATAGAATTCTGTTGTACGTTCCAACTGTATGTTACAACACTTATTTCAGAGGTAAACTATTGCATCATGTCTGCTAGAAGCACCCTCGTTCTGGACAATGGCACCAGCTAGATGTAACCTTGAAAAAAAAAGAGGGATCTCGGTGACGTTCTAAACACTCGATCCTTCTACAGCGCTGATTGCGACACTGTCACTCCCTTGTGTTATGCACAGTCCGGCTTAAACTTACTGCCGTTCTCGCATCGGACTACACAGCTATAATAATATCAAAAGTTGCCACAAAGAGGCTACTTTAATCATCTGACAAAGATGTGACAGGCTAACTACATTAGTTCTGATGTCTGAGGTACTTCTGAGTTTGTCTAAAACTTAATTAATTGTCACAAACTATATTTGTTAATGACTGCCAATAGTATTGAGAACGGTATCATAATATCGAAGTTAAATTTATAGACACATTGACTGCATCAATCGGTTGAATAATTTTAACATATAACTAGAGACTAAAAAGAAGCGTATGTATTCACATTTATATGTACTGTACATATTATCATTCATAAGATGAAATCAATACAATATTACGCATAGTGTATCAACTAATATACAAAAATTGTGTCTTTGTATGTTGTATAACGTCAATGTTTTAAATTAAATAAGTACGTTTGCGGAAACGACCAACGGTTTTGCTATCTTTACAACTAATCTGGATGACATAATCAATATATTGTAATATCTCCTATGTATTTACGAGGCTTAGATGTAACAGTGACTAATAGTGGAATTGAATGATATCCCACTAATCTGTACAAATATTATAAATGTGAAAGTTTGGATGGATGGATGAATGTTGTTACTCAACCACGCTTGATTGACTGAATGGAATTGGATAAAATTTAGAACAGAGATAGGCAATGGACATCAACGCGAAGAAATCCGCAGGGCAAAGGTATATTCTAAAGTTCAAACGCGAACGCTTGCTGGGGTTTATGCATAGATGTTTACTACTCTAGCACAATAGAATGGCTAAACGTATCTGGATGAAATTGTACACAGTCATATATTTCATTCTGGAATAGCACAAAGATTGTTAAGCAACGTAAAATTTATTGAGATCGTCATTAACATGAGCGAAGCTGCGGGTAAAGAATAGTAGTTAATATTTGTAACAAAACCTAATAAATATTATTGTATCGCTGAATGTTGACACTTCATTTGTTTCAAAGTAATTGTTAATAATTACGATTTTACGGAAGCTACTACAGGAACCTAAAATATGATAACACCTTTCTGTTATACTCTGTACAGAATATATTTAATACTGCTTACTGATAAAAAAATTGTATTGGATTTTTTTTGGGCAATCTGGTATTCAGTTACTTTGAACAAGGAGTATTTATCAAAATTTTAAACTTTCATTTATTCAGTTTTAGCACTAGTCTCGCCAAGCGACTTATGCAAGCGTCGATGTGAATTCGTTTTGGTAATATAGACGTGGTGATCTATTTTTCCACTATAGTTGAGTGTACTAACGAGTTTTCACTGTTCAGGTTTTCGAATAACCTTTCTAAGTCGCGTCATAAATTAATATTATTATTAGTGGCCACCATTACCATCGTAATATCAGCAAATCTCTTTTGAGAATCGTCGACATTCATCATACTATACATACATACACATAGGGTTTACGTTACTATGCCATTTCGTCGTTTAATCCAATCCATCCAATATCGAGAAGAGAATACATTTTTTTGGTGGAAAAGCCCTTCGGATCTCCGGCTTCTAGGGAACCCATGAGTCAGGAGTTTGTGGTGTTTCCACTAAAAACCACCATTACGACCTCAGGCGCCGCCCCAGGCGCCGCACTCTGGTAAGGAATAGGATACAAAATATTACAGGACTGGCAGGTCTCGCCTGAATGTCTGAAACTAATAATAATACAGTTCCAAAAACGGAATTAATATTTTTATTGAAAATTATTGTGATATTTTTATTTCATTCAATATTTTGTACACGGTTTTCGAAAGACTAATAAATATAATATAAGCATTTTGCATAACTCTGTACAACTTCTATTTGTATTATTGCATCGCCTTTCATTCATAAAGTTCAATAGAAAGTTTAATAAAAATACAGCTATCACTCAGAGTTCATCTTTTCTCATTTAGAATTGATATCGCGCCACCTTTTTTATTTAAATGTTATGAAGGTCATAAGAATCATTTTGAAAATCAATAAATTATGACACTCTTTAGACGAATACACCGCTCAGGTTTATTGGATTTCTAAAGATGTTTTTAGTTATTATCTTTATTATTGATTATTAAGACATCTTAATTATAGGCGTTTCTCTGATTGCAATGAATTGTGACACTAGATAGACTACTGAGCCAATGTTACCTTGATCATCAAAGGTTTGGAAACTTCATAATTTAACAATAATAGTTGATAGTACCTGCAACATTTATAGTGTAGACTTTACAAGTTCTACATTCGATATGAATGAACAATTCGTCTCATAGTGTAGTGAGGTAAGGTAGAATACCAAATATCTTTGTTTCAAAATGTTAATTAATTCAGTGGTATATTTTACACGATATAAAATTGAGGCGCAGATTTCTAATACTGCTGATAGACCGCTTATAATTGGTGGATGTATGGCGTAGTGCATTTACTGGATTTTACTTACAGATAGTAGTATAACTAGTAGTAGTAGTAAATATAGTTTTCAATCTTTAGCAATGCACAAGACAAATTAATTTTGGCAACATTTTTTAAATAAACAACGGTTCTATCATTAATGAACATAATCATACTGTTACTGTTGCGTTGATACTTAGAGTTAAACGCCCATTGAACAAACGTTTTCGTTTTCGTACTACCACTTTAGTATGTTACTAGAATTAGCAATTTCAATTTATAATAATTTAATAAGAAGTTGATTGTTTGCACGGCAAGAGAGAACGGTGGTTGCAAAACATAACTTTGTGTTATCTTCCATAGAGAATTGCCAATCACTTTCACCATCTTTCAGCTCCTGAAAGTGTAATTGAGTTTGATCAAATCTAAAAATTAGTTTGACGTATGAATCTAGCTGTTATATCACTAACTTTAGAATGTGTCGATAATGTCAGTATGTATGTTCATGAATGTTGCGGAATTAGCTAATTCAATTACGGTTGTATAAAGAAGGCTTCAGCACAAAGCAAGGTTCACCTTGAGTCAAACCTCTGTTGTCACTATTGATGCGTAGTTGGTAGTTATTTAAGGAAAGAACGTAGGATAGTTGTTTCTTGATGTCTTTCCTCACATTGTGGGATAGAAATGTGAAACTTTCTTGTACCTCGAATGCGGCACGGTGTCAAGTGCGATTATAGCCAAGTCGGTGGCAGGGCGGCCGGAGCGCGGCGTGGTGAGAGCGCGGCCCGGTTGCGACCGGTCGGCCCCACCGCAAGCGCGCGCGCACACGCTGCTCTGTGCCGCCGACGTCGCGACGCTCGCTCGCGTTGCGCCCCTGTGTGCTAAATCATCGAACAACATCGTTGCATCGCAAGGATTTTAAACGAAATAACGCGAAACTCACACATACAGAAGTTAAGATGTTTTGAACGTTGTTATGTGTCGTGGGACGATTTCGAAATAGTGATTGTTGCTTTAAAGAATATTTGTGAGATTTACTTTTGGTAGTTATAAGGAGACCAATTTTAAAGGTGAGTGTTGATTAATACAGTTGTTATTTTTTCATTTTTTTGTTAAAACTAGTATAAACAAAGGTGTGTTGTCAATGATTATGCGCGTTCCCTTGCCCGGTATCGGGCTAAGGTTAACGGAGCAGCCGTGTGCGTGGTAATGAGATTAGGCCCGGCGCGTCGAGGCTGCGATCCCGCGTCCCGGCGCACCCCTTTCCGCCCCGCATCCCACGCCGCATAACCCGCCCGCCGCATTCCTTGTCTTATTTTTCCGCCCGCCTTAAGGATACGTCCTATATGTATTGAATCTGGATTGATTAATTCCTTAATCAACTATCGTGTTTTATTTCAAATTCTTTATTTTATTTCTTTCTTTTGTATTTTATAGACTTTATCGAAACTAAAGCAAATACGCTTCTCTGAAAAGGTATATTTTATTGCAATATTAAGACATTATACATACATGTGTACATTATCCTATAAGATTTAACAGAAATGTGTTTAGGTAAATTTAACTAATTCAAATTTGCGTTATTACTCGTAAGTAACTCGGCTGAAGTTTTTTAAACTTGGCCTGCATGTTAGATAAAATGTATTAAAAAAGACATTTAAAGCGGTTCTTCGAAAGAATACGATATAACTTTTCGTTTTATTGTACCTAACTTCAGTAAAAAAAGATTAGGTCGTTTACTTAAGCTTTTGTAAATACTTTTAAGATTTAGAGCCAGACATGTTCTTATTTTACAGAAGAAAACAATTATGAAGGACAAGTACTTTTGTTTGAATGCTCACATTTCAAATACGAATGTATTTCATTTTGTTGTTGTATAGGTGAAACCAACACATGAAAGGCTAAATAAAGGTTGATTATAACATTAATTCTATACAAGTAATATGTTTATGACGTGTCTATCTTTGTCAATAACATTACACAATACTTCTACTACAGATTCGATTAGTAGGTACTTCACCTTAAACACGTTTTTATCATATTTAAAGCTAATAAGTTGTCCATTAAGTGTACTCAATTTTATGCTTAAATATAAAAAAAGAACCTGCTAGTATTAAAAGGTATTTTCACTTCAATAGAAAACTGTACTACTGTTTTCTCTTAAACAATTTTTAAGAAATCTGTATTAAGTATTAAACGGACTTTCCTCAATTAGGTACGTGTTTGACAAATCCATTATATTCTGCTAGGTAAGAGCACGAGAACGAGAACCTTAAAAGGTTAGGTAGGTAACCTACATTAAAATTCCCTAGCGTTCAGAAAAAGTAATTTGTCTGTGACAATTGCAGTTGTCTCGAATGTTTTTAAGTATTCTTTGGACATGTTTCCATACACATCATTATTCGGGTTTGTTGACAAGACAGACTATAGAAACTAATATAATTAGCAATACTTACTTAGGAATCTTTGTGTGTGGTGTAAAAAATAGTGTTAAAATTAGTATAAAAATCGACTATATAGAAGGTACAAATGTTCAAGAAAACGTGTTATTTCTTGTAAAATTAACAAAACTTCTGATTTTTACTATTACTTATGTTGTTTGTACCGTTTAAATGCGAACGAAGTTAATATAAGTTTTTAAAATACCTGTCGTGCACAGCATAATCATGTCGATTTTATGTATTCATTCATGTCTTCGCAGAATACGATTAGCGGTGCTTACGTCTGCAATAACTTGTTGGGAATTAAAACACGGTTATAAAAATCTCTGTCAAACAGGCTTTTGGATGTTATTTGGCTATAGAGGCAAGCCCATTAGTCTATCGCTGAAGCACGAACGCTCACAGGATGTTCACCTCTAAGCAACTTGGGTTCGGCCGACAGCACCGTAGCCTCTGATGTCACGCGAAACGATGACACCGCCTACGGTCTTCGCATATTTTAAAACCATCCAGTTTTTTTTTCCGAGTATAGGTACTGAACAACATCACAAACGTGATTTTTACACCTGATGACAGTATAATACAACTAAACAAATATTTTTTTCAATACAACCACAGCAATTTTTGTTTTAAATTAGCAATTGTGTATGAGTAAATAATCAGCTGGTGTTATCTTTAGCTCCTGTGTGCTTTTTCGAGAGTTTGCCTGACAACTTATGTTTTGAGTTTCTGTATTTTATAAATCAGATTTGAGACCACTTGAGCAAATAAGTCAATTTAATGTTACTTTTCTACCAAATATCAATTTTGAAAACGAACGAGCTTTAAATGGTGCGAACAAATCTATATCCATCCATTTGTCATGATATGATTTGACAGCGTTCGTCAATTCACAGTTAGTTTTTAATTTAACATTTGCAGTAGCAATTATGCGTAAAAAAATTCTTCTGTATAATTTTATCTGCGAATGTATTTTTGTGATGAATTATGGAACAAAATTTTCGCTTCAACGCCGTCGAAGAGTCTTTTAATAAATAAATTACTACTTACTCTGGTGGGCGATATTGCGCAGCAGGAGATCAACTTATTAAATTTCTTGTTTTGTATCTAGCCTACCGGCGAGATACTACATTCACCTTTGTAGCCTAAGAACATTTACACATTAAATGTTTTATATCAGAGAACCTTAATTAATACTAACGATTTTATCTATTTTCTATTATCACGAGTCTTCACAATTAATAGAAGTGTCCCAAATATGTCTAGGTCTAGTCATTATAATAACTTAAATAACTTAGCCTATACGACTTGCTGAAAGTATTAGCGTATGCTAATACTAGTAAGTACAGAAGTGGTCATCTTTTATTACAATAATACTGTGATATAATAAACGTATATCATTCGTATTGTGTGGTATTAAGTAAAATAATATTTTTCTTGTCTTTTTGCTTCTAGTAAAGCTAGTTAAAAAGAGTCAGAGGATTAACAATGTTGTTACTACCTAAACGTAGGTCACAGATAAGAAATAAGGATTGCAGAAAAACTACAGATTGAGACTCCAGTATTGGTAGTCTATAAACTATCGAGAAAAATATTTTAAGTTCAGGTATTTCTTTCGAAGTTATGCGAGGCTAACTAACTCGCGCAAGGTTAAAACATTACAACCGTGGTTACTGGTTTCATCACCTGTCATGTATATGCTTAGGTTTTATTTTATTAAATACATATATAAATAATTTCAACGCTTACTTATTCAAGAATATAAGTTAAAATATTATTTAACTATAAAAGTGTTTTAACATCACATTTATTCATGGTCACGATATCGCAAGCAACAGTTACATAGTAGGTAACACTTTTAATAAATACACAAAATTCATTTTATACTAACATCATTTTTTTTATAAATTAAGTTTTTTAACCATACGAGTAACGGAAAGCGATCTGTTTAGCTTAGGAGATTCTAGGACTTATGACGGTATTGTTTATCAAACCGAAGGAAATTTCTTTTAGAAACACATATTGAACATAAACCATAAGTAGGAGGTTCTAACACAGCAGTTTAATACCGCTAGTGAGTCTCGAACAGACTTAACTTACGATGAATAAAGCTTTTAGCCTACAATAAAGAACTGTTGAACAATTTTATAGAATGTCTTTAAAAAGCAAAATCGAAAAAGATACCAACATTCATGTAAGCTGTTGATATTTACAGAAAATCATCATATACGATTAATTTGTATTTTTAAATTTAATTTTGGCTATCAGGGGCTGTGATCTGCGGCCTTCGTTTGTTACGCCTCTGCGGTTTCTGCTTTTGACGACATTTATCTAGATAGCGTCCAGAGCACACGGCTTTTGCGGTCCGCTTCTCCTTTGTAAGCGGAGATCTCATCAAACTTATTTCAATTTCGTGCGTGATAAGAAGGGTGCCGTGTGATAGACTGTGCAATCTGTGCATACCTTATATAGTCCATGACGACAGTTTTTGACACGTTAACGTGTTGCAATACAGCGTTCTGTATGTAAATGTCGCATTCCAATAGAGTCATAAGTTCGAAAATCAATGTGGTTGTTGCGAAATTGGTTAGAAAACGATGTTTTACATAATAACAGACTTTGGGTATTAATAAGTAGTGTTATTAAAATAAAAACTTCGCAAACTAGCAGCATCACTAGTGGGCGCTTGTTGTAACATTATTCTAGAAAATTGTAGGTAGGTGACGTGCATTATGATTACACAATAAATTAGCAAAAAGTTACAAAAACGCTGAAGAGGAAACTTCGAAAATATGAAAGCCATTTGTTCCAATGTTTGAAAAAATCAAAACAGATCCACATGACAAATACATTCGTCACGAAAACTGACAAATAAAGTTATTTATGATAGTTGGAAAAGTTACTCTCGACTGCCACAACCAGGCATCCCTCTAATCTCAACTCTTAGTAGCGTTTTAATCAAATTGAATGTGTTCTTGCAGAAATATCCACCTTTTTGACGATCAGTAGTGCGTACGAAAGAATTGCTGTAGGATGTAAATTATAAAGATCTTGCAATGAGTGTAAAACTCAAAAACTAAACAAGCAACTGTTTTAATTACGGTGCTGCTTATTCCAATACTGATTCTTGTATACATATAGTGGAAGCAGTACCTGCTGATCTTATGATAGAAACGCTTCAAATTCCACTGACCCTGTTATTATAATACAAAAGCAGAATACATGAGTACGTTGAAAACAGTATTTTTAAGGGTTATTAGAAGTTCCGTTCCATGGTTCGTAACGTTAGTTGAGTTCAGTTTTTTAATTTCTTTTTGATAATGTGGACGATTTGTTGGTTTCGTACATAATTGCTTAATTTACTACTTGCGTCCTTATCTTTACAAATGTACAATTCGTATATTACTTAGTCGCTTTACGTTAAAATGTTCTTCTTAATTTCTCTCCATACTTGAAAACGAACTTTGGAAATCGGACGAAACTTTAGAGCGAGCGACTTGACGAACATGGAATATGTACGAGTTTCAAGTTTCTTTTTATATGTCATACATACATCATATATCAATTTCAGAAATTCGATTAAAAACCTTTAAGCTTCTAGTTTTTCGTCGGAAGCCCATTGCCCAGATTGTCTGACATTGCATCACAATTCATTGAAGCGGGCAGTGACTATTAATGATAATGAATCTCAAAAAGAAATAGTTGCGAAATAATTCGACTTATAGAAATACAGTTCACGTTGACCGAATATTATCCGGATTTTACTTGTCAATTTGTTGAGTAGGTATACATTTTTTTAGAAAATTTCGTAACTCTGAAAATTTATAAAAAAATATTTGTAAACTAAAGATATTAATTCTAAGGGTTGAAATAATTTGTTTTTTAATGTTTAATGACTTTGGAACTCATCACGTTTTATTGTTAATCGTTAATCATACATATTAAAAGTTGTTCTAATTCAACACGATTTAACTGCTATAAAATACGCCGAACACTACGCAGAGTGATAAATAAGGTGAACATATTGTCGGTAGGTAAGCACGTTACGACGATTGTTGCATACCACCTTGTACACTTACACTTGCGCAACCCAGGGATGCTCTAATTAGATGAGTTAGTGCGATTGCCCATCGCTCGTTCACTATGAATACAAAATAATTTATTCCTCACATTACAATACACGGTTTTTTTAAAACAATAACTACAGAATCCGGTATGAGTTTTATACAGCTAAGCTAGATGAATCGCCTGTAGAAACTAACCTCTGTCCTAGCCGTATACTTGAGTTCTACTAATATCTCTATCATGACAAGAGTAGTTCAACAGCTTAGTTTTACCTTGTCTTAATGAGAGGGCTTATACGGCTATAAAAGTTTGTTCGTTGAGGGAATAACACTTCTTTTTTGTTTAGGAACGAGCACAAATTGGCGGAGCTGAAAAAAACATTGCATTTATAACGCGCTGTGGGCTAAGGAAAATTAAATATAATACTTATTCGAAATTACTTTTTACGCATATCACTGACCGAAAGAACTGAATGAATTCATCATTTCATAAAATAATCACTTTTTTTATTACAATATCATTATATTGAACAGCATATTCTGGAGAATATTCATGTGCGTAATGTAGTATTCATCACATCAGCTCCAAGTGTTAGGTGTGTCCAAAACTGTAGATTACGTCATGCTTAGTTGATGCCCTCTTAGAGTTAATTAGATTTTGCCGACATGATAAGTGGAGCATCTATGCAAAGTGATAGCAATGTTGCCGAGATAACTGATAGATGTTACGTTTATCGCAAAAATCGCACGAGTGCAGTGACTGCCGTGTTTGTGTAGAGCATGTGTCACTGAACGGCTGGCACTAATTCCAAGACGGTTATTTAAATATTGCTATCGTTCATCTAACAAAGTGTCCGCTATTTAAAAAGAAATGAAATTCAGTTTAGATTTCATCAATCTTGTTCAGTCTTGCTAGATTTTGTCACTCTTATGGTAGTAAGAAACGTTCCGTCGTGTTTGGTTTTCTGTCTCGGATTCGCTAAGGTAAGGAAACTTTTGTAGTGAAGCAATAATGTCGAGTGCAAGTCAAATAGTCCTGCCATCAATTTTTACGCTGTAACATAGTGTCATTCCCTCATTCATTATTAAGAAATACTAAAATTGACAGAACACCCAAGTAAATATATCTTTTTATAAATATTTTTACAGTATAAAATACTTCCTAGTATTACTAAATTACTTAATTATTTTCCTAATATTACTTGCATTTTGGTATACTAGCTTTGCTTACTCGCTTCACCTTAATGCAGATCGATTCTTATTTGAATTTTTGTCAAACTAAGGAACAAGCGTGCCAGATTTTATCGCCATTGATTAAGGGTTAAAGACGTGATATAATAAAAAAAAAATCATAACACGTACTACAATCTTGATGAATTTCATTTGTTTTTAAACATAAAATTCAGAAAGTTAAAACCTCAAGTTTTGTGTATTTTTTAGTATAAATGCCGTTACATACTGTAAAGGATTGTGAATGTAATAATTTAAATTATGTTACTTTTTGTTAGGAACATCATAGACGAGTTCACGAGAATAGCTAATTTTATTCTTGACACAAGTAGTAGTAACGACATATACTCATAGTGTGTATGCAAAAGAAGAAACAATAGTAAGATGTTACAATTCACCCGGTTGTTCATAAGCTGTGTAATTAGCGATCTTCAAATTCAGTCTAAAATAACACGCTTACGCCAGATTACCGGCGACTCTAGAACACAATGAATATTCATAGTGTAACACTATTAGTACGACATTATGAATGGATTAGGCAAGTGTTATAATATTCCAAGTTCATGACTGACTAACGGTAATTTTGGAAACATTCTCCAAACTCGTCTGGTAAAACAAGATTTGTCTACTTTCCATACGTAGGAGTATCATTTTTTATCGCCATTCGTCGAACATCTGTAAATAACAAAAACTTTTGTATTCTAGGTTACGGTGTAAAGATTCGATTATGAGATATCACTGAACAATGCCATATACGATGCAGCAACCTTTCTTTGTTTACGCGGTAACAAAGTGAAACGAAGCCGATTCTACCGATTGATGTGTTTGTATGTTTTACTCCCATTCTACTTGCGTCTCGTTAACGAAGGTCATACAACTCTTTCGCCGTTCCGATAGGTCGTATGTTTGAGATTGTATCAATTAACAGCCAAGTTTTTATTGCGGTCGCAAATAAATCTATATGATGAACTATCTGTATAAGTTTCTTAAAAATGTGTTTTTATTTTAAATTGTATTTTTGCGTTTTAAAGGTTAAATGGTTTTATTTTATATTAAGTCTTAGACTGCGTTGACTGAGACTGTGCAAGGTAAACACATGTTGTACTATTTATTATCTGGTTAACTAATAGCCGTACCTACCTGAAAGGTAGCTACTCAACAACAAAATATCGTTTAATCTCGTTCGGATTTTGCCGTAACTTAACGTAATAATGGTTAAATAAAAAGTCTGTCATGTGTATATTTATTGTATTATCTTTCTCATACAAAATAACGAACATGTACCCAATTAATTTATATGAAAAACATATTTGTCACCTGACTGTGAAGAGGCTGGATTTCTGATTGTTTTACTAACAGTTTTGAATAAAAGTGATTCCAATAATTTCATTTTAATACAAATTGACAAGAAAATACGACATTTGATTGCACTTTGAAAATTATAGAATTTACGTATTAATGGTTATGAAAATATAATGAAAGTCGTACTATCGACAATACGGTCTAACTTGAAAACTATTACAAATCTGAGTGCAAGCAGTTTGACTGTGGAATAACGTACTTGAGGCAATTAGGCAAGCTAAATCACTGCTAATTTTTATTCTTTTTGATCCTGTTAGTTAATCGAAATACAGTTTAAGTAAATTATACCTAAATTACTATAAGTATAATAATAACTAGTCTAGTAAAATAACTCTTTAAAATAGTGTTTACGTGGTGTTTCAAGTCAGAGTGATCATGCAGCAATTTTATGTGAAAATGATTCAGAGTCGTGAGAAACGGTGGCCCTACGGAACGAGTCACAGGAATAACGGGTCAAACTACAGCCTCGGGTAATATGGTAATGCGTTGGTTCTCCGCAAATGCTGCTGACGATGCCCGCACTGCCTCTGGTGCTACTAACCCAGATCTCGTCCATTACAATGACGCGACTGCTTGTGGTCAACACGTTGCCTGGCCACGAACACGCTCGTTATACTTTCATATCGATCAACGAAAGTTTTTGAATGATCACGAGTAGGAAGTAGATGTCTGTTTGTTAATTTTATCGAAAAATATCAACGGGATAACAGATACGTGTAGTGAATGTTTGTGTCTTAAACAGAAGCGGTTCTACTATTGACAAGATGATGATGACTTATTTGTTTGCAAGGCGCTTAATGATCTTAATTTATTAGTAAGCTTCTTAGTTAATATTTAGGAGAGTACTTTTTTTATCAATAAGCATAACGGAGGTCGGCATTTTCGATTTTGGCTCATCTCAAGACGTTCAAGTGCATCGCAACGGTAAAGAGAGAGGCCTCGCACAGTTCTAGCGCGGCGTTCGTCGTGCGCGCAACTCTTAACATAAAATATTGCATTTTGGTTACGTAAACTCATTAATATTTTTTGTTTACAGTTTCGAATCCGAAAGTGGTGATTGAAACAACGCAGGCGCGTTTCTCGCGGAATGGCGACGGACGCGGCTGCGGAGGACTTTGTCACCATCGTTCCGGTTGGCGAAGGTCGACCGTCTCCTCGAGACTCGTCTTTTGTCACGGTTCTTACGGTGGGTGCAGTGGCCGGTGCGGCAGAAGTAACCGTTCGACGACCACGTGGAGAGCGGTTAGGACTAGGTCTCAAATTTGAAGGTGGATCAGTGGCTGCTGAGAATGTACGTAGGCTTTTAGTTCAATCATGTGCGGAAAATAGTCCTGCAGCAAACGCTTCTGCTCCATGGGGAAAACTTATACCAGGAGATGAAATATTAGCAATCGATGGAGAATCGGTATCGAACTTAACAAGAATAGATTGTGTTCGACGACTTAAAGACTCTGATGAGACTTTAACATTACTTGTGAGACATTTTGAACAAGATAGTAAAGTGGAACAAAGCAAAATGGTTGTACCTGATTCTGTTTCAAATACAAAACAATCAACAGAAATAGTGCGCCCAACTTCTTTGCCACCACCTGTACCTCCAAGGAAACTTGGAAAAAAAAACTCTTTCAAAGACAAACCCACTCCTTTATCTATAGCTGATCAAAACCTTTCTAACAACAATGAATCTATAATTGATGGTTTGTTAAACAGTAAACATAACGGTATTTCTAACATGACTAAATTGTCCAGAAAGTCTTCATTCGATAGTCATATTCATCGCCAAACTAAAGAAGGTATCGCTTATCTTAAAAAAGGTTCTCCAGAAGAAGTACGACGATTAGTACGACGTTTGTCTGATGGCAAAGCTATGCCTCCCGATGCGGAAGTGTATATTGACTTATTATCAACAGAATGGGAGCGATGTTTGGTTTTAGCTGATGCTGAATCTGATGACACAGGTAGCTCTATATCCACCGTTGTGGATAGATTAGGATCTATGGCTAGTTCTGTCGAGAATAGCATTCCTTCTACTCCAACCATGCAACCTAAAACTATAGATATACAAAAAGTTCTTAACTGCATCGAAAATATTGACACAAATATTTTAAAAGACATGACTAGTAAAAGGTTCTTAGAAAAGCAAATTGATATAAACACAGAGTCCAAGCTAACCGAAAATAATGGTGCTTCCAATGGCATTCACAATCAGGAAAATACAAAAATACACACGTTTGTTACAGAAGAGTCCACTATTATGAAAAAAAACTCACAAAATGATAAAAATAATAATAGTTCAATAATATCAAACACAATGATCAATGGAGCAATGGATGTAACACAATTAAATCAAACAAAAAAAGTAGACAGTAAAGTAGAAACGTTTACAGTTTTACCTAAACCTATGCCAAGAAACACCAAAGTTGAACGATCTGCCAGCGAAAAGAAGTCAAGACCAATACCTGTACCAGAAACACCGCCTCCGCCTCTTCCAGAGTCCTTATTAACTCCGACAAAAAAGAACTGCATTGAGTCTTGGCTACAGCATTCAGAAGCTGAAATGAATAATAAAACTGATGAAAAACCCGAAGAGAGTTCTATACCAGAAATGTTGCCTCGTCTGATTGATTTTGTGCCAAAACATCAGTTCAAAGAGAATAGTAATGAAACACCATTAACACGACCGACAACCGCACCGCCCCCACCACCCACCGAAACCAGAGAAGATGGTTCGGGGGCATCACTAGACACTATTGGAGAATTGGATGAATCAGCTGACGTCACCGACAATGTGTGAGTATTCTTTTATATGTATTATGCTGTAAGTGCTTAAATTGTTAGTTTATTTATGTTATATTCGAAACAGAAGTCTGTCCGACGAACAGCATTCCGTGGCACTATATGTCTTGAGAGTAATAATAATTTAAAACGTTACTTCTTTTTTTATTATTTGGTATAAATGCTTTATTTCCGTCATTACTGATCACTTTCAGAACTTAAAAGATTTATCTTAATAAAGAACAATATTCTGACCTTTTTTTATTTACAACATTCGGTTCATAATGATGATGATGTTGAGATCACTCTTCTATAATCATCTTTTAATATGTACATAACATTTCGAAAATGTAACATATTATATTATACGAGTATACTGTTATTTCAGACACAAATTATTAGATATGATGACTTCTATCGCCTAAACATATTTAAACAGAAGAAGTGCCTTACTTAATACACAGCTGCACTTTGTTGTTTTGTTTTAAGAAAATGTATAAATACCACCAGTTAAGGGGCCTTTACAAACAAACAGCGTAAAAGACAAAAATATACCCAGAATTTACGATTTTTTGTTTGATTGCAACGTTTATAAAAAATTAACCACTGATGAAGAAGTTGCTCACATCTCTAAGCACTTCAGAGACGACGGTATGCTAGGCACCAATAACAATTTATCATTAACCGTATTTTTAATAAAATTATATTTCTGAGAAAGGTATATTTCTGATTGTGTTTAAATAACCTTCCTCATTGAAAAAATTAAATATTATAATATGTTTTTACAAACAAATGTCTCTGGCATTTACTTGTTCGAAATTCAACGATAAGAGACTTTCTTGCCTTTAAGCGAACACTACTCATATTTCAAGTGTCGCTATAGTTAGCCATTAAAATCAATTTTTCAAAGTAAATTATATTGGAACTGGGACAAATAGGTTACTAGGTTAAGCTTATGCCACTTAATATCTTGCAGCTTCAACTCGAAGTCATTTCCAAATTCGATACATTTCATGTGTTCTAGTAACGTAGATGCAATCAACGTCAGCGCTCAACTTAGTCTTTTAGAGATGGTTTAAAATTCAATCTGAGGTTGGCACGCAATCATTCATGTGAATAACCGGAAAAATATTGTAATCAATTATAATTTAACTGTGAATGTGCATGTACATAATAAAATTAACTATAGAGTTTTAAGATTTACCTCGAAATATATGAATTGAATTATAAAATAATAAGATCAAGGTGAAAGTCGATAACATGACAATGGAAGTAAATTGATTCTAAATAGCTGAGTGCAAGTAGATTGCGATTTTTTTGGTTAGCAGTTTAATTGTTGAAAAAGCCATTCCTATTACTTAAAATATAGTTTACTCATTAAATTTAACTTTATATATAAAAAATAATGAACAAATCTATGGTTTTTGGTTGCGATATGAGACTTTCATATCCAATTTTTATGTAAATAGCTTAAAATGCGATTTTTCATAGACACTAAAGTATGGAATGAGTCAAATTCGTTAATGTTTAGTAATACTAAATTATAAGTTATCCAGCCATTACAGTTTTACTGAGAATTTGCTAGGCAGAAATAAAATAACACATGACTTTGTCGGTGAACAATAACCTTTCGTAGCTCGACAAATGTACCATCAAAAGATTTGTTCCGCGTATCCGTCACTGGCTCCGCTTGCTTGTTAAAATAAATACGAGCCATTTGAACGTAAACCTGACTATTCGTCGTCTTGAGTTGATGGTCTATCTCGTAAAATATACTCAACGTGCATAAGTTTAACTGTAGGACGTATATTATATGAACTATAGTTCACACATCTACCTTTTACTTTACGACTCAATCGTAACATACCTAGCGCACCTTCCTGTTCTGTAGTTTATAAATACTTTTGTTCAACAACATTCCATACAATTGAATAACGAAAATTTTTAATTAAATACAGGCGCCTTTACTGTTTGGTTAGGTACCCACAACATTTTAATATACTGCCGTGAACAAGTCATCGTTATATATAGTTCTTTTGAGAGTCTTGCTCAACATCGCAGTTCCGTCCTTGGAAGTAAAAGGAATGCGTGTTATCTGTCTTTATTTTACGAGGAAGGAATTTGTGATAGGTAGAAACAAACCAAAAGCAGTTGTCCCAATGCAAATAAGAATTTTGTAGAGAATTTCGAAAGACCAAAGTAAAGTTCTTCCAACTGAATACGAAGCAAGAAGCTAAAGATCTCATATAAAATTCCAAGTGAAGGATAGGCAGCTAACAGTAAAGCTGTATATGTAAAATACAATCAAGGCTACAGAGAAAGACGTCAGAAACTTCAAAACGGCCACGACCATACGTGAACGTATGAGCTTTAAACTTTGATCCTTCTCTTGAACGGCCTACAGGAAAAATTGGATACCGATATTATAACAAACGTTAGAAAGCACTTATTATAATCAGTATCAGTATGAATAATCAGTACTGGTCAGTGCTCAAAGCACTGGATGGTAGTATCAGAATTAGGGTGAGACACATCTATTGCTAACTACACATGCCAACTGTACGTTACAGTAGTCAGTAGTGAGGTATTATATGCGGAAGGCAAGTCACTTGGCGCCACTGAATAAAGAGAGAGTGCATTTAATCCAAATCGTGTCTCACAAAGAAAGGCATGGAACTAGCGGTCTTATCTTAAATATCAATTTCTTCCACGCTACGTTAAGATACAGAACCCCAACACATTGGACTCTTAAGATAAAAATCCTAGAAGATTGAGCGTCGTAATTAACATTGCATTACAAGTAAATAATTAGTTAAGCTGAAGATTTCTGGGTTTTAATGGGGTTTATTAAGTTTTCCGTAATTAATATTACGGAAAATCTCAGGTCTATAGTAACTCGTTCATCGATGACAGAAAGTATATTTTCACTCAAGGGGAAGTAATCACTAGTTGGAATTGAAACTACCCATTTATAAGTAAGCCAAGCGAATGGTTAGAAATTAACCTAACGTTTCCAATAGAACTGGAAGTAACTTTTATGTTTTCTCCAGTTTCTTGCGATGGGCGGTACAGGCCTGATATGATCGACGATTTATGATTGCTCGAGGCGTTGGATCATATTAAAGAGGTGCTATTGTGAAAATAAATAAGTTGATCTTGAAATAGAAGTTACGATTGTCGGTTGTTTTTTGCAACAAACAACATTATACCAAACAAAAATAAAATAGACAATAAACAGCACAACAGCAATAAATTGAAAACAAGAATATGAAGATGATTCATAAACATAAGTAGGTACTCAGTCAAACTATTCTCATTGTTGCGTGTTATAATCGTCACTAATAATTCACTTGAAGTGTTTACACTAGACTAGGATAAGAAACATCTATCTATTTTATGTATTATAATCTCTTTAGACATAGGAGTAGCTATGGTTAGATTATTTTTTCCTGAATCCCATCTGTTTTTTAATTTATAAATGACACTCATATATAAACATATTAAGACCAGTGAGAGAAGTTATCAAATAAGTTGATATTTTCAGCTCATATGTTTTGTAGTTATATGAAAATGTAATTGGTAAAATCCAAATATAATATGATTTTTCTACAGGTTAACATTATTAATTGACTGATATTGACTTTGTTACATTTAAAAGCAACCACTTTATTTGTATTGATATACCCATAAATTTGCTTTGCTTTGCTAACCCATCTTTTTATTAAAAAAACAATACCCTCAAAAATCAATATAAAGTTATAAATCAATATATAGTATACTTTCAATATAAAGATCTTGGGAGAAGAACAGAAAACAAACTGAATAGACAATCTTTTCATGTATTTGTTTTTTTTGTTTTAACCAGCTACCTGTACATTGCTTATAACCTCAAATTAAGTTAAAAACAAAGTAACATTTTTCTTCTAAAGTATGAAGAAAAGGGCAATTTTTTTTAAAGGATTTTCCTTTGAAAAAAATTGTCTGATGTCTAATTTTTCTATCATCAAAATCGTTTACACGTCGCATGCTATATCGGCCCACATAATAAACCTCTTTATATTAGGTCTATACCTATGAAATTGCCGTTTTGTATGCAATAAGTGAAAGTACTTATTTTTTCAAACTTTTTTATTTCTGTTATTAGAAGTAATCACCCATGCAATCGACGCATCTTTGCCAACGCATTGGCATTTTATTGATGCCCTTCTTGTAAAAATCAGCTGGACGGAAAGCAACAAACTCTTCAAAGGCATTTTGTACTGCCTCTCGGGAATTGAATTTTTACCCACTAAAAAGTTGTCTAAATTTTGGAAAAAGTAATAGTCGGTAGGTGCAAGGTCTGGTGAGTGTGGCGGATGAGGGAGAGCTTCCAACCCCAGCTCTTGTAGCTTGGAGACTGTCTGTTGCGCAGTGTGGGGTCGCGCGTTGTCGTGAAGTAGCAGTGGGGACGACCGATTGACTAAATCTGGTTGCAGATGTGACCACCAGACCTTGCACCTACCGACTATTTCTTTTTCCAAAATTTAGACAACTTTATGGTGGGTAAAAAATTCAATTCCCGAGAGGCAGTACAAAATGCCTTTAAAGAGTTTGTTGTCTCCCGTCCAGCTGATTTTTACAAGAAGGGCATCAATAAACTGGCAATGCGTTGGCAAAGATACGTCGATTACATGGGTGATTACTTCGAATAACAGAAATAAAAAAGTTTGAAAAAATAAGTACTTTCACTTATTGCATACAAAACGGCAATTTCATAGGTAAAGACCAAATAATAATAATAATATGTGATGGGAAAGGTATATTCATGGGTACTAAGTGGATATTATTACAAAAAATCAAAATGATACAAACACAAGAAATGTTGTTTTTTTTTTAATTAATTCGTAATTGATGTCAAATTTACGGTTAAAAAAAAATAATGTTATAAATCCAGCCGTCATATTAATATACACGACGATGTGGTCGCATAGCGACAAAGCCCTTAATTAAAAAAAAATATTTATACCTAACTACTA